CTACTCCAGTCCTCTGAAGATGCCGGCCACAGAAACGTCAGGAAGAATAACCTTCAGAACAGGGCCAAAGAACCGGGAAAACCCACAACAACCATCAGATCCGAGCCATGAAAGCCTTTGAGAATACATCATCCAACCCATCATCGTCCAGTTGGCTTCCGACCATCCTAATAATTTGCGTCCGATTGCCAATATACCATTGCTGGTTGGTGCAAGTTAAGATCACATCACCCCAGTTCTGGTGGAGTGCCAAATCAGGTTCAAGGTGTTGACTCTCATGTGTAAACCCCCCCATGGTTTGGACTACTTATCAGACCGTCTTTCCCCAATGTCCGATTGCCAATATACCATTGCTGGTTGGTGCAAGTTAAGATCACATCACCCCAGTTCTGGTGGAGTGCTGAATCAGGTTCAGGGTGTTGACTCTCATGTGTAAAGCCCTCCATGGTTTGGGCCCACGCTACTTATCGGACCGTCTTTCCCCAATGTCAACTGCCCGATCCACCACGTCATGGCAGACGAAGCTCCTCCATCCCAAGGGAGGTACATAAATCTTCTACCAGAGGCAGGGCTTTCTTTGCAGTGGCCCCATCCTTGTGGTATCAGCTCTCAGAGGAGCTTGGCTGGGCCTTCTTCCTGGCGATATTTAAGAGGCAACTGAACACATGGCTTTTTAGGAAAGCCTTCCGCTCCAACCCTAGTTGAGTGAGGCCATTTTATACCCCCATCCAGTCATTTGTTATCTGTAGTGTACTTTGGATCATTTTTAGTTTGATGTAGCTTTGTGCTTTGTTCTAGCGCTTTATGTTTCTATGCGATTAGATTGTTTTATTATATTAATTATGTATTTTACTGTGAGCCTCCTAGAGTGGTCGCATAGACCAGATGGGCGGGATACAAATCAAATCAAAAAACAAACAAACAAACAAACCAGAATAGTGCTATGGTACTAGCAGGAGCAGTATATTAAATTGAAATAATAAATAGTGAGGGGGTAGGGTTTTGTTTGTTTTAGGGAGCAGTATATTAAATTGAAATAATAAATGGTGATTTTATGAGGGGGTAGGATTTGGTTTTATTTTTAATAAGTTTTATATGGTTTTAATATTTTTAGCTCTGTGTTATATTTGTAAACCACCCAGAGTAGTGGAATGCTCACTAAATTAGCTGGGCATATATTTAAATAACTAACTAACTAAACAGTGTTCCCCGCTCCGGTCAACCCACTCTGTGCCCGTCAACTAAGCATAAAGGAAATCATCCCACTGCCACCAACCACAAGGTGTGCGGGGGGGGCGGTTTTCCTCCAGGACATAAAAACTGAGCATTCTGCCCATCTCTGCTGTACAAGAATGAAACAAAGTCCTGGGACCCCTTAACTTTATTATAATAAAATCTTCTGACATCTTTACAATTGCATCTGATAGCTTATAGGGAGGATGGCTGAAAATCAGTGATTTTTTTAAAAAACGAATTTGATTTACATCTTGATTTAAACAAAAATCAATTTGTAATTTAAATTGTCCAAAAATTTTTTTAAGTTATTATTCAAATGGTGATTTCAATCGATCAAATCCACCCTGTTGATAGGTCTTCTTTTTTTTTATGACCGAGTCAGGAGGGACTCCTTTAAAACCCTGGAGTGAGTCATCCCTGGCTTTTAAAACGACAGAATCGTGGAAGTTCAGAATTAGAAAGGGCATCGAGTTACAATCTCTTTTAGGGAAGCTCTTTTTTTAAAAAAAAAAGGCTATTAGTGTTGAAATTGTCACAAGACACAAAATTCCTTTCCTGGACCGAGAGCACACACGCCTACCTCTTGGAGAATTTGCTTAATTTGATTTCGGCACTCTTCAGCAGTGCCTGTTCACTGTTTCTTCCTTCCTGCTGGAATGGATTTAGCAAGGCTAAATCTCTGGATGATGCCGAGAAAGCCAAACTACATTTCCCACAATGCCTCTCTTCACTTGATAAATCCTCCCCCTCCCGTCCCTTCTGTCTTTATGCAATCCAGTTTAGACAAGGAAGAAAGTGGCACCCGTAAAGCGAACGACTTCGTTAAGCATGGTGTGACTCATAATTGGTGGTAGGTCCAGGGGGCTGCAGACAACAGCTGGGAGCTGTCAGGGTGGGCGGCAGTGGGAAATGGACTGGAGGCAGGAAACTGGGGGGGGACTGGGATCAACTGGGTTGAGGTTTAGCCTAAGACAAGACCCAGGTCATACAGAAGTTTCCATGCTCCTCCAGGTAAACAAGCACACCTTCAAACTTGGGTTGGCCCTAATACCACTAAATGCTGAACTGTGGGGTGTGGGGTTTCCTCTCTGCTTTCTCATGGCATCTCCGCATGTTAAGAAGGAATCCCTAAACCTCTCTTGTCTCCAATTCAGCCTGCCGCTATGTGGCCAGGAAAATAGCCGCATCGCTGCGTAATGAGGAGCCCAGTGGGCCTGCCGTGATGTGCCGGAACCGGGTGTGCCAGCTTGGTAAGCATCTCGGCTCCTGCCACCCTCCGTCTTAGTTTAACTATGCAAGAAGATTTTACTTCTAGCAGATGTGTGGCCTTTGCTTCAAGGCCTCGCTTCCAACTTGATCTTCTTTGAGAAAACTCTGGCTCAGATTGCTTCATCTCAATAAGAAACTCAAAGTCATACAGTAGACAACACCTTTCTTGGCAAGCCTTGTTTCCCTGTCATCTTCTATCTGTAGTTGTTGATCCCCGTATAAAAAAAATGTATGCTGTCAGCTACTTGGGATAGAAAACCATTTTTTTGCATGTTACGAAATTCATAAACAGGGTGAATTTGATCTAAATCACGATTTAAATCACTAGTCAGTAGGCATTTTTTAAAAATATATATATACGCAATTTAAAGTTTTAAAGATCCAACTATTTGATTTAAATTGGATATTTCAATACAGTGCCTACCGACTAGTGATTTATTTAAATTGTGATTTAAATCAAACCCAGCCTGTTGTTTAATTTGCAAGGGGTGTACATGTTACAAAGTTTGAAAAACACAGGATGGGTTTCATTTAAATCATGATTTAAATCACTAGTCCGTAGGCATTTGATTTTTTTTTGAAATAAAATGATTTAAATTTTAAAAATAGCATTTTAAAAACTGAAATTGGATTTTTATTTTTTTAATTTAAATTGGATTTTTAAAATAAAATACATAGCAACTCGTGATTTAAATCAATTTGATTTAAACCAAATCCACCCTGACAATAATTTAAGCAGTAAGGACCTTTTGAGCAATCCTTTAACCAGGTGAGTCTCCATTATTGTGGTGAGCACCTTCCTACAGCAGCATACTAGGATTTCAGGGAAAGCATGGACACTTGACCATACATGTTCAATATCATATTTACACACTTTTAAATCTGGAAAATAATGGGGAAAAGTATACCTACTTCTTTCGTAGTGCACAGATCCTGCATTTTCCCATAATATTCCGCAGTACTCAAAATTCAAAATAAGCAAGAAATCTCAATATTCATACTAGTTAATATATTTAAAAGGGGAGGGACCAGAAGGGGCTATAGATATTTCTATTTTTTTAAAAAGCAGGTATGGGTTTTTAAAAGATGGACATTTGTCTAAAGATTTTCTGGCAAGGTCTCTGGCCAAAGTCTTCTCTGGCCTTGGTCACACCCTCTACTCAAACTTTAAGTAATTTGACATTCAGAATCTGCTCTAAGACACTGTAAACGAAAAAAAATAAACTGTATGTATTTTAACAATGAGAACTACATGCTGTTAAGTCAACTCCAACTTATGGTAACCCCTTCCAGGATTTTCCGGGTTTAAAATACACAGAAGGGGTCTAGCATTCCCCTTTTTCTGGGGGCACTTCTGGGACAATGCATGGTTATATAGGCTAATTCCTAATTCTGCAGCCAAATCCCTAAACCACTGAGCTAATCCAGCCAGTTTTAAGTACCTTACCAAACTACAAATCCCAGGATTCCACAGGATGGTGCCACAGAAGTGTTACCAAACTGCTATAAATGCATAGCGTAGATAACTTTCTCTCTGCCTTCTTTCATCTCGGATTGTTCATCCCTGTTTAAAAGTGTGTATTGCAAGCTATTTGGAACGATTTCTCTGTAAGGGGTGTGCATGCAAAAAAAAGAATTCTGTTAAAAGGTGTGTACAGGGGTTGCCATTATAGTTAACAGCTCCTCTGCCTGTTCCTTGTATACATAACAGGCAGTTATGTATACATAACAGGCAGTTCCTCTGCCTGTTATGTATACATTACTGAAACAGCAATGTCTATGTTGGCTAGGGCACGTCGTGAGAATGGCTGATGGTCGGATTCCAAAGGATCTCCTGTATGGAGAATTAGTGCAGGGAAATTGCCCCAGAGGGAGACCACAGCTGCGATACAAGGAGATCTGCAAGCGGGATCTGAAGGCCTTAGGAATGGACCTCAACAGAGGGGGGAAACCTTGACATCTGAGCTTTCAGCCTGGAGGCAGGCGGTGCATCATGGCCTCTCCCAATTTGAAGAGACCCTTGTCCAGCAGGCCGAGGCAAAGAGGAAGTCACAAAAGCAGCAAAATCAGGGAACTGGACAGGGGACAGATTGGATTTGTCTTCAGTGTGGAAGGGATTTCCACTCTCCAATCGGCCTGGATGCTTTTCCAAGCCAGAGCACGTTACCCATAGTCTTTCGAGACGGAAGGATGCCTAACGAACTAATGATGCCTGTTCCTTGAGGCACAGCTTCCTCTGCAGACCTTCAGAGCAGATGAATGCTGGTCTCCATGCCTACAGAAGCTTCTGCTGCATATTGCTGCAGAGGAAGCTGTCGCCGTAGATGCACAGACGGCGCCAAGGATTTCTCTTTTTTTCGCTGCTTCTGTTCAGGTCAGGGGTCAATCCTTCTCTTCTGCTGCTCCTCGGGTAAGCCCGGCAGCTTAGCAGTACAATCTCCAGCCTCTGCCTGCGAGGATCGCAGCTTTAGCCCTTGGAATCGCCAGTCGAAGCGGGAAGAGAGAATGTGTGACCACCCAGATTTTGTTGCACTGCAACACGCCTCAGCCTGGAGCGGCAAACCCAATAGTGAGGGATGATGAGAACCGAAGCCCAACATCATTTGGAGGGTCACACCTTCCCCACCCCCCCAGTTTAAAGGAATACAATCGCAGGTTAAGAACCAGCATTGCCCCCCCTTTTTTTTCGCACTGACAGCAGCAGGATGTCAGGTATGGTGAGTTAAGAGGGCTGAGGAAGTCTCACTTGGATTTAGACAGATTCCAAGTTCCATCATATGCAGCCACCAAACATGCTGACTGGGGCTGAGGGGGGTGAGATTCCAGTATCATCTGGAGGGCCGCATGCCAAGCTTTTTTTGGACTTTTTTTCTGAGCCTCGTGGCACAATAGTTAAACTGCAGTACTGCAGTTAAGACTCTGCTCACAGCCTGAGTTTGATTCTGACAGTCTTAGGTAGGCAGCTTGAGGCCTCACTCAGACTTCCATCCTTCTGAGGTCAATAAATTGGTGCAATGCATAGTGGTATAAATAAAAGATAAACTCCCCAGAGAGTGCTTTAAGTATGATGGGGCGGTATATAAGCAGCACAATTACTTTTTTTCTCATGGGGGGGGTTGGAAGCTCTCCTTGTCTTCCAAAGTGAAAATGGATTTTGTTTTTCCCTTTTTTATTTTTATTGTGGGGGCTCAGCTGGCTCAAAAATTGTTCGGGGTTGGCTGTGAAAATGTACCTGGAACCCGGCTCAGTCACAGGCCACCGGTTTGTCACAGAGTAAGATTCCCCCCTCTCATTTAAGTCATGTCTTCCCTCAGCCAAAGATCGTGTTTTGTGAGCTCATGTCTGCAAGCTGGCTATCCAATACCTTGATTTCAATGCGCCACTGGTTACCTCCATGTGCAGGTTCCAGAAAACCCCTGCACAAGCTGAACAGGGCAATACGACATCTTTTCTGTAATGCCCAATTCTGCCAAGTCCTGCAGACACTCTTGACCCCTACTTCTCAGCATCCCCCCCCCCACTATGCTAGCTATGGACGAGGGGATCTGCAGTCCAGTATTATTGAGAAGGCTGTCCTTTGCTTACCAGCATTCTTATGTACCTGAACCTAAACCCAGAGAAATTAAGAGATTTATCTTAGTCATTACAACTCATCTTCCTAATTAGAGCCCCCCCCTTTTTTTTGTTCCTTAAATTCACAAGATCAAAGTTCTAGAACCAGGACGCACTTGCATGACCTTATTCTGTTTTTCTTTCTAAACAGGCAACCCCCAAAAGGGAAAAATGCAGCCATCTGCCTCTCTTCCTGCAGATCAGGTTTGCTCTCCTGCTGCCACCTCAGAAGTTGGGATCCGGAAACCTCACTCCTGATAGAACAGGCTAGGGAATGGCAAAGGGGGAAATGATGGCTCATTTGACAACTCCTGTGCATGCCGGAACCGAGTGGGCTTGAGAATCCTTTTTGCTTCTTTCCCATGTCACTGTTTCTCAATGAAAACTTTAAATAAAAAAAACACTTGATGAACTCAGATGCACCCATGTTACGTCTAAACAATGATTTGGGGCTTGATCAGTAAAACAGGGTTGGGAAAAGTCTTAAGAAATATATATTCGCTTTGTAAAATTAAACACTAACAATTCTCCGAGAACTTTACAAAGTGTAGCAAAAACAATTTAATCTTAGAAACAACAAAAGTACATTTTGAGAGGGACTAGGCTTGATGATCCATAGGGCCCCTTCCAGTTCTGCAGTTCTAAGAGGATGATTTTTAACAAGCAGAATGGAAATCAATATAAAACGGGGGGGGGGGGGCGACCTAAACAACAGCTATAGATGCAGTGGCTAAACTGCAATACTGCAGTCATGACTCTACTCGTAACCCGACTCTGATCCCAATGAGTTCAGGTAGAAGACTCAAAGTTGACTCAGCCTTCCATCCTTCCAAGGTCAGTAAACAGAGTAGCCAGCTTGCAGTTACTCAGTAGAAAACTGTATTTTTTTCTTTTGGATCACTCAGACAGGGAAACAGTATAGGTAGGATGTGCATTCCTCCAGATCTTGTTGGGATTGCACTTCCCAGCGGCCCAAGTTGGTGGAAAGGATCAGTGGCAAATGCAGCCTAAACAGCATCTGGAGACCCACATGCTCCTCATCCCTGCTCTAATTGCAGTGGGAACAGCTATCAGACATGTGGGATCTATACCATAAATACAGCATGCTGTCATTAGCTGCCTCATCTTATAATGGAAGAATAGGTTAACAAATGTGCATGTGGCCACATCTCTTTTCATGAGCCTGCCTGGGGGTCAAGATGATCAGGAGAGGCCTGTCGCTCAGTCCCACTGCCCTCATAGCTGCGTTTGGTGGAGACCCCGGAGAGAGCCTTCTCTGTCCCTGCTCCCAAGCGACGATGGAACTCCCTCCCACGGGAGGCCAGGCTGGCCCCATCTTTGCTGTCTGAAAGTTGAGCCATGGGCAACTGGACTTCTTTCTTGTTAGGTGGAAATGTTTTGCTACTCATCCAAGTAGTTTCTTCAGTCTGATGCAGGGGGTGGATAAACCCCCTGGGGGAAGGGAAGCTCTGGATAGAGGGAAGCTCTTTTTCCCTCTCACAGAATACCAGAACCAAGGGACGTCCACTCCAATGGAGTGCTGGGAGAGTGAAAATAGACCAAAGAAAATCTTTATTCATCCAACATGTTGTTAGTCTGTGGAACTGCTTGCCACAGGATGTGGTGATGCTATCTGGCCTTTAAAAGGCGATTGGACAGATTGCTGGGGGAAGAATCCATCACAGGTTACAAGCCATGATGGGAATGTATAATCTCCAGGCTTAGAAGGAAGGTACCTCAAAATGCCAGATGCAGGGGAAGGGGTATCAGGAGACAGGTATCCAGTTGTCTCATGTGCTCCCAGAGGCATCTGGTGGGGCCCCTGTGAGATCCAGGAAGCTGGACTAGAAGGGCCCTTGGCCTGATCCAGCAGGGTTCTGCTTATGTTCTTATGACTCAACTTCCAGATAACCACACCTGGAGGACGAAGAATCTTCACAGACATTTTTGCTGTCCTTCTGCAAGCAGACCTTTCTCTTTAGACAGGCTTTCTCTGAGTAACTGGCTGTCTGAGAGGGTTTTTTTAATACAGTGTTGTGCCTTGTCGCTTGAAATCTGCTTCTGGTACTGATTTTGTTTACCATTTTGTTTCTTTCTTTCTTTCTTCTCTCTCTCTCTCTCTCTCTCTCTCTCTCTCTCTCTGTGTGTGTAGTGTTTGATTCTATTTACAATTTGCATATGTACACACAAAAAGTTTAAATATTTGAATGATGTGAGCTGCCTTGGGTCCTTTTTAAGGAGAAAAGCAAGGTAAAAATTATTTTAAATAAATGAATAAAAATAAAATAACAATCTTAGAAACATAGCAAGAAGTTTATATGTTTACTTGTCCTGAAAGAACCAAGAAACTGTAAGAGCTAGAAATACAGAAATTTGAATAAACACTACTTAAAATCACAAATAAAGCGATGGGTTCTATACCAACCAGCCATGTGAGCTGGCAAATATCAAGAAATACAATTCTCTCATGAAAACAGTCAGAAAGAGAAATATGCCATTTTCCTGAGGTAATTTCTCAGTTTTAAAAAACTGGGTAGATTATGTCTCAACTGGCCATTCCGGCTTGGGAATTCTGGCAGCTATAGTCTAAAGATATTAGCTGAGGGATTCTGGGAATTGTTTTTCTCTTATCGAAAACAGTCAGAGCTAGAAACATGAAAATCTGCAAGGATACTACTAGCACCCCAACTCATATAATGTATCCCTTTTAAATATAACTTAAGCCTTTTAAATAAACCCACTTCCCTATATAGTGATGCCACTGGTTTCTTTCATTTAGCCTTGGTTTTACATCTACAGTAGTCTCTTACCTCTTGTTTGAACTATATTTCAAGACCCTGGAAAGATGCGCTTACCGGTCTTCGCAAAGCGAATTTTTCCCCATTAAAAAAACGTTGAGCGATCGCATTAGCGATCCGAAAAAACGGATCGCTATGCGATTTCATCGTTATACGCTGCGCTCGTTAAGCGAGGCACCACTGTATATTTCAAGACCCTGGAAAGACGGGATGCAGATCTGGCTCTGTTTTCCTAGACTCTTAGAGATGTAAGGTTCAGTAGTCCCTTAACCCAGGATGAATGGGCAGAAGAGACAGTGGCAGTCTATCTTAGGGGCCTGAGACCTCCACACACTTTTGGCACCGCTGGTGTGTATTTCCAGAGTGGTGGGTGTTCAAAACCCATCGCTTACAGCTAGGGGTCTATACCCGTCTTCATACAACAAGGGCAGTGGTGACAGCAGTTGTGGTGCTGTAAAATGGAGAAAGACTGTGCATGAAATAAACAGCTAGGACCCAGTGGTCCCCAACCTTGGGCCTGGAGATGTTCTTGGACTACAACTCCCAGAAGCCTTCACCACCAGCTCTGCTGGCCAGGATTTCTGGAAGTCCAAGAACATCTGGCGGCTCAAGGTTGGGGACCATCGCCCGCTAGGTTATGCCTCGACCAGGTGTGCTTGCCGAGATGGGGCGTTCTGGAATTTGTAGTCCAAAGAGGTGAACATTTCCATCCTGTCAGTGGAGGACAGAAGAGTAAATAGGGTGGAAGGAGAGACAAAGCGAGAGAGACGGAAAGAAAAGAAGCATTGGGTGGGGGTACACCTTGAGGTGGGGAAAAGAGAAGAGACAGAGTTATGGGGTTAGTCCTGGGGTAGGACTAAGGGGTTTTCAACACTGGCATAAGGTGAATAGGGACCAGGGTGGGAAGGGAGAGAGCAATGCAAAATAAGGAACTGGGGTGGGGTAGGGGCGCGAGAGAAGAGAGAGGACTTCGGGGTGAGGTTGGGATTCAAGCCAGACCCATTTGCTAAATCAGATTAATTAGAAATACCCGAGAAACCAAGGGGTAAGTCACTTACCCAAGACGAGGTCCTCCTGACAGCACGGACGAGACAGGATTTGAATTCACCAGGTGAAAGTCAGGCTCGCCTTCCGAAGGGCCGAAGACTTTCCCCTATTCCTCCCTTTTTTTTCAAAACCCCAAAAGGAAAAATCCATCCATCTTTACTAGTACAGTAGAACCCTAGATTGAGCCTACAAGTGAAAACGCAGGACAAAACTACATTTCCCAGCAGCGTTTGTGCGGGGACGGGGGGGGCTCGAGCGCATGCGCGCAACATACTCTGCCAAAGCCGCTCAAGCTGCTCGGGAATACGCATGCGTCGCATTCTTACTAACCAATTCCGGACTACAACAGAGTTACAGATACTGTACAGTAGTACAGTACATCCCTTACATGGGGATTCAGATTACGTATTGTTATACACATGCGTACAACAACTACGCGCACGCGCAGTGCTGATAATATACACTGCCCATGCGGTTTGTCAATTTACGTCTTTTACGTAGGCGTTCTCTCCGTGTACGCTTCCGCAAAATCTTTCTCCTCCATTGGTGGATATTCCCACGGCCTCCCGCCTTCTCTTTTATCTTATTGGCCGGAGCCGTGCGGGGACTGGCTTCCCATTGGCCCAAGGTGTTGCTATGGCAGCAGTGGGCCGAGTCGGGGCTGGAGGAGTGCAAGGAAAGGCGGAAGGAAGATGGCGGCCTTGGCTTCGGAATCGCTGCTCTTGAGTGACTCCAGTCGCTTCCGCGCGGATAACCTGCTGAGCAGCGAGGACTGGGGCAAGTGGCGGCAGGGAGTCGGGGGCAGTGAGGAGGAAGGAGAGGCCGAGGGCAGGGAGCCGGGAGCGGGGCATATTCAGGAAAGGCGGAGGAGGGGGAATGGGGGGCAGGAATGGCGATGAGGAAGGATGGAGGAAAGGCGGCGCTGGGGATACTTGGCCGGGTCTCCTGGGATTTTGGCAGGCGCTAAGCTGTCAGGAGTGGGACAGGTGCGGCTGCCCCTCTTCCTGCCCACCTGAGGGGGACGCTTCACCCATTGAATGGTCTGCCTGTCCCCGATCCAGAGAGGTGGCTTCCGGTTCGCGAGGGGCGATGCCTTGAGAACTTTTTAGTTGTTTGTAACATTTGTAAAGCACGGAATCGCCCTTAGCCTTTACAAAGCCACCGAGCTCTGCTTCATAATATGTCACGTCGTTGAAGCCAGAGACCTGCTGCTGAGCACCGGAGGTTCACCCATTGAATGGTCTGCCTGTCCCCGATCCAGAGAGGTGGCTTCCGGTTCGCGAGGGGCGATGCCTTGAGAACTTTTTAGTTGTTTGTAACATTTGTAAAGCACGGAATCGCCCTTAGCCTTTACAAAGCCACCGAGCTCTGCTTCATAATATGTCACGTCGTTGAAGCCAGAGACCTGCTGCTGAGCACCGGAGGAGCAGTCTTTGTTCCTAGGTCTACTTTTCAAATATATATAATTA